CGAATCCTCGCACTCAACTAATCGAGATGTTTAAAAAATTCGATAAAAGCAACACTGGAACCATCGACAAGCAAGAGTTTTCAAGTGTTTTGAGCTACATTGGGGAATTGCTAACCAAACAAGAACAAGAAGCATTAGTCAACTTGGCAAGCACTGGAGATAGGATCAACTATACTGAACTCGTAAATAAACTCGTATAATATTGCGGTTAACACGCAATTAAGCTGGTATTCGTTATGTATAGCGTGTTACCGCTCGTAGAAAAAAATAATGTAAAATTTTAAAATAAATCATTAAGTTACTACTTACCATGTGTGAACTGAAAACGTTTATTATAGCTCAATTTCGGTATGTAAAAATTTTCATATTGCCCAATAATAATGCATTAAAAAAAAAAATTTTTTTAAGTTTTTTAAGTAAATAATCTTGAAAAACAGTAAATTATTCTTGATTTTCGTTTAACTTAGTTTTACAAAGTTTCACTTAATATCGCTAAAATATTTAGAGTAGAAAACGATTTTTATACTTGTATGCTATGGCATCAAGTTGTCAAGCTCAATACAACAATAAAATAATATTACGAATTTTAGAGTAAGTGAATCTAGTAAAGACAAGTTTTTAGTGAATTTGAAATATGCAATGCGAATAATAAATCTAAAGAAATTTTAACGCAAATAGATTTTATTGTTACAGGTTTTAATTTACATATTGCAACAAAAAAAGAACTCTCATCATGGAAGCGAATTATACTTCAGCTAATATCAAACAATAGTGATCTTTTACGTTTAGTAGTAAAATATCTGCTAGAAACTCTCCGTGATCATAATTTAAATAATACTGGAGTTTTGAAAAGCGACTTAATGGAGTCACAAAATATATTTAAAAACATTGAGTCTTACACAGCTATCAAGAATCAGATCACAAACATCATTCAGAGTGCAAAAATCAACGAACCATTAGTTAGGAACGAAACAAACAATATTTTATTTGAATTAATTGACTCTCACTTCAAAGCTTACAATATGGAATTAGACATAGTTCAGATTATGGTGTCTGAAATGAAAACAGAAAATAACTTGAATTATTTGTCAGTCGTTTACGTGGCGCGTGACGTAACAGATGAAAATCTTGGTGAAAAAACTCAGATCCCGATCGAATACATTCTCCGACATCGCATTTTTAACAATATGAAAACAACGCAACAGGCAATATTTGAACTACTTAGTTTAATATTTTCAAATTATTACTTTGTCTTGGGATCATCATTACAGGAAATTTTGTTAGAATGCGCACCGCCGATTGAATTTTACTATTCTGAGAATTCTATAGTTCAGGCTGATTTGACAATATCACGCTGTTTTAATTATATTAGTTCAATAGCAACGTTTCTTGAAAGTTTTTGTATCGATTCTAAATTCTATAATACGCTCAACGAATACTACTCTAAAGGTCTTTCTATATACATATTGTTAGAGTCTGTTTTATGGAAGTTTTTAAATCGAATCGTATTTATGGCCAACGATGAAATGTTACACGAAGCCACCAGTAAAAACATAATAAATGTTGATGCCTTTGAACAATGGTACTCCGCGCAAATAGAAACCTTTCAAAAATTATCAGCTTCTGCTAAAACTAAATCGAAACTAGCAACGTTACAAAAGGCGCGTCAATTAATATCGAACAAGGATCTTATGTCGCAACGTTACTTATCCTTGCTCACGGAATTCGATTTTCATCCTTGTTTTAGATTAATTAATTTGTCATTTCAGAGAGTTTCATTTTTTTATTTCGAATTGTTTAAGCGACACAATCAATTTGATATTCCCAGAAATAAGGTTAGTTTTATTTTTGAAACTTCCGATTTTGAGCATGACTCTGCAATGGAAAACAATGAGTCTGTTTTGCCTGATTCACACTATCTACCAACTCTCAAAAAAATTAGAGTGCTTACTCCAACTGATAAAAACCTTCAACCGTTGAAGGTTGACTTTAAAAAAAAATCATTTATTTGTGGGCCTTTAAGTAATAGTTCTATCAACTCTTCAACAAAGCAAAAGACAGCACCACATAATTCAAGCACAATTAATGCATCATTAATGTTTTCGATTTCACTATTAAGCCAATGTTTCAACAACATTACTGGGGTTCAAGAAAATGGTTTATTGATTGGCTTATTAAGCTGTGTTCTCCCAGATCAAAAAGATTATTTATCAGAATTTGTGAATAAATCTTTAGACTTTGCCCATAAAAACCAAAATGTTCAAATTCGAATGCGTGTGATTCAGGAATTAGTATTTTTTATTAAATCATTTAAGTCTACTACGGATTCATCGGTTATTCGTGTTTTCGATGTTGTTAAGAAAGAATTAGATTATTTTTTCAGATCGTTATTAAGTAAGCAATCTACGAGCTCAAATTTATTTAACTTTGACCAAACATTTAAATCTTTTATACACTGCATTGATTGCTTCCATGAAATTTTAATACTAATGACTAAACTTAAAATTACAATTCCTCATCAAGCTGTACTTAATTTCATTCAAAATTTAATTCATTTGTCACGAAAGATTATAAATATGCTAAAATCTTCTCTTTCTACAAATTCACAATTACTTATCAAAAACTTATTATCAGTCAACAACTGGTTCAGTAAAAATATTAACTTAGATTATTTAGCTTCTTCCTTTTGTAAAGAAACTACAGCCATTCCTTGTAAATTTGATGTACTGAGAAACAATATAAGAAAATATCCTATTTTTTTATTCTCTAATGACGATAAAATAAATAATATCGGATGTATTTGCAACTCAGAACTGTTGTCAGAATTATTGTCATCATTAACTGTCTTTTCTAGTTCTTGCCCAGTCGTTTCAGAAATTTTTAATCAAAATGATCAAGAAAAAAACGACTGTTCATTGGATTCGCTTTTTCAAGAAATTGACAAATGTAAACCATTATCAGATGTAGAAGACAACGACGATGTTTCTTCTTCACTTGGTCGAAACGACTCTCAAGATACTTATAAGCATAATTTAGAAGATGAAGACATCATTTATAACGAGTGTTCTCGCATCGTGCATCACGAAAATTCTAACTCTATTATTAATATCGATTACATAGATAACAATTCCGATAATGAACAGTCAAGCTCAGCTGACGAAATAAATTATGAAGTCGATAAATCCGATATTTATGAACTGAAAAACTTACTCGAATACATGAAATCAAATACATTGAATAGTTTTAGCTTTTCCTTTGATAATAATAAAACTTTACCTGAATTATCAAACTCGGAATCCAATGTTGAAGATGATTCGAATATCATAATTAACAAAATAATAAATATAAGCAAATTAAAGAATAAAAATTATGACACTAACGGCGGTTCAACGATTGCTAATGAAATAGAAAACATTCGTACTCCTAAAACATCGATCCATGCCCGGAATTGTAATTCACTAGACAAAAACAGCATTACAAGTTACCAAGATGACACTTATCGTTCACAACTTGTTGTCGACGAAATCACTGCCAAAGAAACAAAATATTGTACTCCTACGCAGGATAGCCCGAATACAAGAATTTTTTTTTTAAACGATTCAGATTGTCCTCCTGCTCCACGACGAAGAAGTAACGCACCAAGTGATTTTTTTGATTCAACCACCAAAAGTCCAATTTTTTTACGTGATTTTTTGTATATGGAGCCAAGTGAAGACGAATATATTCAAACAACTGCTGGAAAACCTGTTTTCGGACGAAATTCTTTAATTTTGACACCAAAAGCCGGAAAAAGACTCAAAAAAGTATTAATGCCATCTGAGATTTCTACTGCTATTCCAGTTGACATTACAACCGAAGAACTCAGACGAATTGAAGAATGTGAAAACATGAACTTCGATCTTTTTGAACATGTGATTGACGTTTTTGTTCAACAAAACAATCTTCTTATTCGGTTGTGTGGAGCTTCTGATCAATATAGAGATATTATTGAGCTCATTGGTGAGCAAAACTATTTTCTTCTCTCTTCAAAGATGGAATTCAACAAAAACTACACCGGTAATTTCAACAAAGAAGAAAATGATACTCCAATTCCTATTAAAAGATAAAATGTAGCTGTATTTTTAAAACACTAAAATCATACGTAATAATTAATAAACTAATAGATTAGATAACACTAGAATCGACGTAAATTCTCTTTTTTTGATAAATTTTTCAAAAACAAATCCTTAAAAAAAACTTCAATTATTGGTAATCATTCAGTAACTCAATCTAAATTATTGTCATGTTTAATTTCCTTTCGTATATAAATCAAATTTTTATTTTCAATTCTAACCGTAAATTATTGAGTGAAATAGTATTAATAGCTTCTAGTTCATGTTCTTCTTCATCTATGATTTTTTTATCATTTAATTCAACACCATTCAACCCCATCATTTTTATACTTGTAATTTTATCATATCTAGAAACAAAAAAGTGACTTCTACTGAGTTTTTTAATGCCAAAAATGCCTATTCGTGTAATATCAGATGGATGTTTTTTTAAAATAGAGAAACTCGGCTGACCGATAGGACGAATAATTGTGAGTTGAAATTTGGAATTACATTGTAAAGACAGAATGTGCAACCCGTAATTGCATTGATCAAATTCTATTGAATTTCTCCCTACCAAAATACCGTTTGTTTCAGTAATTATCTGGAATTTAGAGTTGTCTATTACGAAGTTCCATACTAAAACGTTAAAATTTGTTAGGTCATCTTCTAAACTAAGAATCTTATATGATTCTTGCAAGTTTACCTCGTTTTTTTCTAAATACATGTGCTTTGTACTTTCATTGACACATTAAAAAAAAACATTCTCAATGATAACTTGAAATTATTTCGCAAATATTAAGTAGCTGAATATTATTTTTGTTTGTTATGAATTAAATTGCAATTTTTGTGTTTTACCAGATTTGCAATTTAGTCCCTCGTATTAAACCAATCCATAAGTTCATCTAAAGAATGCTCAATGGTAAAATTACATTTTTTCTTGAAAGCACGCCAGATGTTGAAAGCGCTCTTTATAATTGTGCCCTAGTCAATCCCAAAGCGTTTGAAAAATTGAAAAAAGTAGCACATTCTCAATTAGAACTAGAAAAAAATCGATTTGTCGTACGAGTAGAACAAGTAATTTTAGTTTTAATGGTTAATGCAAGTGTGCAAGATGAAACAATCATTTGCATTCCAGCAGTTTTAAGAAGTAAATTGAATAAATCAACAGGTTCAATTGTTCAAGTTGAGTTAGTAGATTCCAGTTCTAAATTTGATCAAGCCAACGAAATATGTATCACACTTGATCGATGGTCTCCTAACCAAAAAAATTTACTTACATTAGATAAAGAAACTTTAATTTCTACTATCAAAACCAAAGTTTTGGCCAATATAGTCCAAAAAAATCAAATCTTAGCACTTGGCTATGATCAAATTACATTACCAGGAACAGTGACGGAACTATTCGCATCAAAGCGAAATCTTGAGCGAGCCATTATAAATTCTACTACAAAAATCTCATTACAAACTAAAAATAACAAGATTTTTCTTTCAGGCGAGGACGCCCTTTTCAATACAACTTTCAATTTTGATCAATTAGGAATAGGAGGATTACAAAAAGAATATGAAGAAATTTTTAGGAGAGCATTTATATCTCGAACAGTTTCTGCGCAGCTGATGAACGAAATTGGAATTGACCCTGTCCGTGGGCTTTTGTTATATGGATTACCAGGTACGGGAAAAACATTGATTGCGCGAAAAATTGGACAAGCTCTAAATGTGAAAAATATAAAGGTGATAAACGGGCCTGAAATCCTGAACAAATACGTAGGGGAGTCAGAGAAGAATATCCGTGAATTATTTTGCGAAGCAGAATCTGACTATAAAAAATACGGATTAAAATCTCCTTTGCATATTATAATTTTCGATGAAATCGACGCCATTTGCAAACAAAGAGGATCTTCTTCTGCGTCAACTGGGGTGAACGATTCCGTAGTAAACCAGCTTTTATCTAAAATTGATGGGGTAGAACAGCTGAATAATATATTGCTCATTGGAATTACCAATCGTTACGACATGCTTGATGATGCATTACTTCGGCCCGGTCGTTTCGAAGTCCACGTCCCAATCAAACTCCCTGACACGAATGGCCGATATGAAATTTTGATGATCCACACTAGTACTATGCGAAAAAATAATAGACTCGATGCGTCAGTAGATTTGAAAATGATTGCAGAAACAACAGTCAACTACACAGGAGCGGAATTGGCTGGGCTTGTGCGAAGTGCAGCCTCGTATGCGCTCAGACGTAGTGCCAATATGGATAACACCACTAACACAAATCCCAAAGTAGACGAGAAAAACGTTAAACTTACATTTTTAGACTTCGAGCTTGCGCTAAATGAAGTAACACCGGCTTTTGGGGTTCCTCACGAACAAATAAAACAATATCTTAAATATGACTTTATAATGTACAGCAATGAATATGTAGAAGTACTCAACAATCTAGAAACGATGGTATTAAATTTGTGTCACAAAACTGGAATACTAAGTGTACTTTTGCACGGCTTGCCAGGGAATGGAAAAACGTCATTTGCAATTTGGCTGGCTTTGAAAGTCCAGTTTCCATTTCTGAGAGTAATCCGGAATACTGACTACATTGGTTCATCTCAAAATATGAAAATTCTGCAAATTAGCGAAATTTTTTCTGAAGCATACAACTCTGAAAAAAGTGTCATTGTTTTAGATGATATAGAACAGATAGTCGAATATTCTCCGCTTGGTCCTGTTTACAGCAATACGATTCTACAAGGTCTGACGGGACTAATTACAACTCCACCACCTAAAAATCATAGTTTGCTAATTATAGCAACTACGTCAAGAGTCAACTGTCTACAGGAGCTCTGGATGACAGACTCGTTTACAACTGATGTACGCACAAAGGGGATTTCTGATTACTCAGAATTGGTCAAAACTATAGAATCCTATTTCACAAAAAACCAGTTTCGACTAGAAGAGATAAAGCAAATAGCAGATATTTGCTTTGAAAATTACAAATGCAGAGAAATACCGATTAAAAAATTGTTTTACGCACTCGAAATGGTCTTGGCGGAAAAGAAAAAGAAGTCAGGAGATACCTCTTCCTACAGTACACTGCATAAAAATGCTTACGTAAATTGTCTTAAAGCTTTTAATATTATTTAATATTGAAAAAGTTTTTTTACAAAAAACTCTTTTTAAGCACTTCAAATTGTATTTGTCCAAATAAAGTATATAAATGACTGAAAAAAACTTACTTAAAGAGGATAAAAATAATGAAGAATTGTTAAACGCTAGAAGAAAAATCGAATACTCTATTCCATCGGGTTGCAAAAACATTCCGTTTCTAGACCGACTTGACGTCATCGTGAATGAATCCATCAATCACATGCCGGCTAACAATTCGATTGAAATTGAAAAAACGATACAGAAACATACGCTTTTAGGCATGCAGCAAGCTTTAAGCGTGATAAAACATTTGGGGTTCAATTTTCAACGTCCCTCTGATTATTATACTGAAATGCTCAAGTCTGACGAACAGATTCAAAGAGCTAAAGCCAGACTTGAAGCAACCAGATTATAAACATTTTCTACGTTGTCTACCTTAAGTCTACAACAATTACATTGATTGATCGGAAATTACTATTATATTTTCTCAGTATAAACAATTAAGCGAACGGCTTAGAAATCAAATTAATTTTATGCGGTTCACACATTGATGATTAGCTCGTAATCGTTGAACACACATTTATTAAAAACCGTAAGATAATATTTTATATTTTTAAAATAAAAGTTTCACTAATCTGGATATAGTATACTACATTCCAATCACTAATATACTCAATAGCTAATCACGACTAGTTCGTTTCTCAAAATAAAACATAATATTTATTTACTTAGTTTTTCTTATATTGTATTTCAAGCATTGTTTTTGATTTCAAATCGTTTTAATAATATTTTAGTAAATACTCTTTGAAGTCATTTTCGTTTTGAAAAATTCTTCACTAAACCTATATGGTTCATAATCATTTTTAGTTATCTATGCAATTAACTGAAAATTATAAGTCTAAAAGAGTTATTAATCTTCAGGATGAAAAAATTAATTTTTGTAGTAAAATATCTAGTGTTATTTTATTTTATTATGAATATATTACTTATATAATTCCCAGAATGATAAAATTAAATATTTCAAATATTAGTTTTAGATTTCAATAATTTCTAAAATTTAATCCACTATCGTATCAGGGGGTTTAATAAAAGGGAAATCAATATTATTTTAAATTCTAACTAAATTAGAATATCTCTAAATATTTTTATATTCAAAAGTTATAAATAATAAATATATAATACGTATTCATTTTAACAAATAATACTTAAAGATTTAGCTACGTATAAAATAATTATCAACAATATATTCTTTATATCCTTTTGATTAAAACTAAAATTAATTGTAAAAAAACATATTTATAAGATATATGAGTATTAAAATAACTTATAACTTAATGAAAACACGTTAAAGTAATCAGAATTTTCAAATGAAGGCGATTAACTATGACGTTGTTGTTAGTTATTATGTTTCGTTAAGTTAGTGAAAGTATTTGATTTTTCACTTGTATAAGTTTGATATATTGAATTTCTATCAACTGCAACAAACGTAATAAGGATAAATTCGTCGATTTTACCATACTAACTCCTTTAAAAATATTTTTGCACTAGATTTATAATAAACAAATAAATTGACTTAGTTGATCAGGTACATTATTTCAATATAGTATCAGTAGTTTTGATGAACAATATAAACATGTCTACAACTATTATGAGGAGCTTTTGTTCGCAATATCCCGAATATTACATAATATTATTCTACATTGGAAGGAGCGACAGTTGGTTTCTATAGATCCGCACCACGTAGTATTGTTTTATTTTTTAATTCGTTAAACTAATAATACCAGCAATTTATGTTATTATATGCTCCAATCGGCTCATGAACACCTACACAACCTAGAAAAAAATTTGTTAGGTACGTTTTTAGATTTGACATCAATTTAGAAATATCGATTGACGAATATTCAAAACCATTGAAAAAAATTTCCAGCAATGAGTTTTTAAAGTTGCAAAAAGAGTTCAAAAATTTGAACAAAGCCTCTCAAGATGATAATAAACAATTAGACGTAGATATAAATATTGGGGCAGATTCGGAGAACTTCGATTCCTTAAGTCGCAAAACATTATATGAATTTTCTCAGGACGAAAAAGAAGAAAAGCTTGACGCTAATCTAGCCTACGAAGACGGCGTCAATTTTTTAGAATTTAGCAAACGACGAGAAGAATATGAGTTGAAAAATCAAAAATTAATTTATGAAACACTAGACAAGATTGAAAAGTTGAACAAGGAATTCACAGCCAAAGAAAAACAATATTTGTTTATCATTGAAGATTTGAAGCATAAACGCGTATGTGAAAAAGAATTATATAAAAACAAAATAAAAGCGATGCAACATTCATTGAACGACCATAGCACACAGTTAAAAATCTTAACTGAACATTACGAGTTCGAAAAGCAAGAAAGAAAAACCTTGGCTTCTGAGAACACAAATCTAAAGTTTCAAATAAAGAGTTTGGAGAGCAATCTAAATAAAATAGAAAGCAAAGCAGAATCGAACTTGGAGCAAATAACCGCTACTGAATCTAAATTTCAAGCTCAGATTTTGCGAGCGAACGACACTATTGACAAGCTTGAACAAGAGCTCAATATCTATTCAAATTTGCTTGATGAAAAAAAGTTTGAATTAAATTGTCTCTATAAGCAAGAAAAAAATTTACAAATGCGAATCAACGAACTTAACAATGAGCTTCAAAATGAAAAAATCCTAAACATGTCGTTGAAGAAAGAACTCGAATTAAACAGAATTCGAATTCAGACAGAGCTCGAAGAAACTAAAGAACATCAACTAGAGATAGCGGAGAGAAACAGAGAATTAACAACAGAGCTGAATTGTTGTCGAAATTGCATTTCAGACTTGGAATGTGCAAATATAACGTTGAAAAATAAGCTATCTCATCATGAATTTCAGCTTCAGAAAAAAATCACAGAAAACAAAGATCTTAGTATGTATAAAGAGTTTTATGAATCAACTTTTAACAAATTGAAGGATTTGCTTATTCAGCACACGAAACTCAAGGATAAGCTGCAATCATTGGAGTTAGACAATATTGATCTTGAAAACAAACTCAAATGTGAAGAAGATAGAAGTCGAGTACTAGAATTAAAGTTAACGACCATAACAAAACAAATGGAGATTTTACAAATTAACGATAATTCGAGATTTATTAGTTATTATAATAATAAATTACAAGGTGAAAAAGGATTGACAGACATAAATGGTTTGCCTTTATCAAAAAAAAAACGTCCTATAAAAGTTGTTCAGTATGTTAATGCAGATAGTTTAAAAAATGTCAACGCTCTAGGATCAAACAATACTAAAAATTTTGAATTAAAAAAAACTGAACTTCCAGATTGCAAATTAGCCTCGACGCTTAACAGCAACCAATCAAATTATACTAAAAAAGAAGAAATAGATTCATCAGAATAATTTCTTTTAAATTCGCGAATACATATCATGCATCATTTAGCTTCGTAATATGTGATTTAATTAATATATTCTGTTGTTGGTTCAATTATTGGATAGAAGACCGCTTTAGGCTGACTTGACATAATTGAATTGGTAACTTTAAACAAAACTAAATGTGATAAAAGAGGAGCGAGGCAAAGTAGAGTTAGTAATATCCACTCTAAACTTGTTTTGAGCTCTATGACAGAGTACATCTGAAACCGCCAAATTTTTCTCGATATTGTATAGTTGATAAAATAAATAACGCCAAATAATAACAAGATTGGTTCAAAAGAATTTACGTAAGGTCCTCTGAATGCAAAAGTTAGAAAACTGATCAAAAACGTAATTCCATGTTTGAACACGTTTTGTATAATAACACCGTTGGTGTGAAATGGATACACACTGATCCAATATAAGAGAGTGACCACCATTTGCAGCGAATTAACAATATCGCTAAACCTCAGTAATATTGTAGGCATAATATACGAATTCTTCATGATGCTTGACCAATTTTTGAGTTGGTGAATAGTTGAAGAAACAAAATATAAGATTTCCAGTTGAAAAGATAATTCCGTCATGTATGAAAACGTATGGAGACTAAAAAGATTTTGGTCGAATGTTGCTTACAAGTCTTTTAGAGATTCCCGCCGCATCCATAAAAAAAAAGCTGTTATCAAAATTAAAGATATCGCTAAATGGTAACCCAAATTTAAAAGTTGTATCATAGTTTCTGAAAGTTTATTGGTTTTATAGGAATGTATCATATTAAATTTTTTATTATTAGTTCAATCTGTCGAGACGTATTAAATATTAAGAAAACAATAGATTTATTGATATATTTGTATCAAAAAGTGAACGAGTCTAATAACCAGAATCGACCAACTCGGAAATTAAAATATTTGCCCAATTATCAGCAGTGTGTTTGGTGACATGATTGAACGCCCATTTATGCTTAGCCTCTTTTTCTTCTTTTGACATTTTCAAAGCTTCGTTAAGTGCATCAGCGATTTCGTCAGGATTCCAAGGGTTGAAACTTACAACTCCATGAGCTAAACTTCTTTCAGCCCCTGCGAATTCACTCAATAATAGAAGACCATGGTGTTGGTTTTGAGAAGCCACATACTCAAACGCAACTAAGTTCATTCCGTCGCGAACACTAGTTATCAAACAAATATCAGACGCAGAATATACTGTAACTAGTTGTTTAAAATCAAGTGACTGATCCCAGTGTTCTATAATTGGTGTTTTAATTGATTTTCCGTTAATTTCGCTAACCAATTGATGCACAGAATTTTTAAGTTTTTGGTAAGAGGGAACATTTTGACGAGACGGAATGGCTAGTTGAATAAACACAATCTCGTTTTTCATTTCTTTATATTTTTCGGTGAAACGTTCGATGCCCTTCAACTTTTGATAAACTCCTTTCATATAATCCAGTCGATCTACTCCTAAGACAATTGTCTTGTTCTGGTATCGAATCCTTAAATTTCTTCTAGCTATTTTTATTTCGTCATCTCTAGAGGTCTGAATAAATCGCGTCGGATTTATTCCAATAGGGCAACTGATAGTTTTAACTTCGATCCCGCTAATCGACTTTGCGTTTATAACAAATTCGTTAATTTCAACATTTAATTCTCTCAAACAAGCGTTCATGAAATGTTTTTGATATTCAAAAATGTGAAATCCTATGATATCACAGTGCAGCAGCCCCTCTAGCAATTCTCTAGAAGCGGCAATGTTCTCCCAAATCACTGGATGGGGGAAAGGGATGTGCAAAAAAAACATCAAACGCAAGTTAGAATCATTAATTTTATTCCTTATCATCTGCGGTAGTAACATTAAATGATAATCGTGCACCCAAATAATATATGGATCTTTTGGATAATTCTTTCTGAATTCTAAATAATCTTTATAAACTGCATCCGCGAACAACATATTAACTTTGATATAAGCGTCGTAGATTTCGTCAATTGAGTCGAGAGGAATATCGACAACGTAATGCAAAATCGGCCAAATTATACCGTTACAGTATCCGTTGTAATACGCGTCAGCTAAGTTAGCGGAAAGGTAAACAGGGTTTAGTTTCATTTCATTACATTTCACTCTGACAGCTTCAGCTATTTCGCTTTTAACCTCACAACCAACCCAGCCTATCCATCTGAAATCCATTTTGTTGACACCATTTAACGCAGAGACCAAACCTCCACTGCTAGGTATCAAATCAAATTCATTCTCAGACGTCTTTTTGCTTACTTTCAAGGTCACTGGCAACCGATTTGCAATAACTAGTACTTTCTGACTAAAATAAATAAAGTTAGGAAGTCATTTACCTTACTAATTGTCGTTTAACATCAAGATCCAATAAGATTTTAAGAAGTTTTCAGCTTATTCGAATATAATAAGATAGCTTCTTTCTGATAATTTGAAAAAAAAATAAATTGAACTGGAAAATATGAATATCGTACAATTAAATTATTTATAATATAATTTACGGAGACTGCGAGAATTTCAAATGGTTACTTATGTAAAATTCATATTAGATAATTAGCATTCAAAACGTTATTTTTTTAATAAATACTTAAAAATGGTAAAGAGAATGTCATGAAAAAGAATTATTAGTAGCATATTAAACTTAGATATTGCAGTGAACAAGCTTTGCAACAAGCTTGAACTACAGCGTAAAGTTTAAAGATACAACTTTAACATATAGAAAAACAAAATTAAAAAAGTTATAAGCTTTGCTTTGGAACTTGTTAAAAAATAACTATCCTCCACTGCAGAACAAAATCGAAACTCATTACCAATCAATTTTAAAAAAGTTTCAACTTTTAGCGCCGCCTGAAACGAATTGCACAGAGTACTTGATAAAACCATTGTGCCGGTTATTCAGAGGGTTTACATTTTTTAATTAGAAATTAAAATTTTAGGTAAATTTGCTTATAAATAAATTTCTTATTACATGGTTTCTGCAAACAAAGTTCCAGTTTGCATCGTAAATGGGCTATTAGGGTCTGGAAAAACCACTTTTTTGAAATATTGTTTATTCAACACTGAAAATATTAGAGTTGCAGTAATTAGAAACGATTTATCAAACACCCAGAATTTAGTCGAAGCGCCTTTGCAACTAACTAAAAACAATGAATATATACTTCTAGATTACTTCGACCTGCCTAACGGTTGTCTTTGCTGTTCCTCAGCATCCACTGTGACGTTGTCTGTGCAGGAATTGCTGAGACGGTCCTTTGAACTCTGTCAAAGACCAATCGATTTAATACTTGTGGAAATACCAGGAATTGCTAATATTTCATATTTAGTAGAGGAATTACTTAGATCTGAAGATTTCGACGTTGACCATACTAGTTTTTATTTTTCGTCGATCATATCTATTATTGACGCAAAGTTACCGAGGGAAATATTTGAAAAAATAAATAAAACAATACTAAATGTAGACGAAACAGTCTTAGATGAAAATAATTTGGAAATTAATGACGTTTTATTTCTTTTGCAGTGTCAAATATCATTAGCTAATTTAATAATTGTAAATAAACTTGATAGTGATGTCGATAAAAATTTAATAACTAGTGCTATTAAACCAATTAATCCAGATGCAGATATATTTTTCACAGAATATTCAAAAATTGATATCAGGCAACTTTTGAAATTAAATGAAAATAGGTTATCACAATTAAGTTTAAACGCGTCAATAGGTTCGTTGTCACAGCCTATTTTTTGCAATAATGCAAACATCGATTCGCCAGCTGATCAATTTTTTTTTGAAAAAAATAAAATAATCGAAATTGAAAAATTAGAATCATTGCTTTCAAGTTTTATATATGATTCACTTTATTCAGAACTTTGCTGCAATTTATTTCCTCCTCTTAGAATCAAAGGGATGATAAATGGGGTTTATGAGTTGCAATGTATACGAGACTATTACAAAATTGTAAGGATAAATACAGATGCAGATTCTACGCACACATCGATTTGGTGTTACGGAAAAAGTGAACTGGTCAAAGCCATTTCAGTAAACGTATTTTCAAAATTAGTTTAAAAATAAGTTATTATAATCAATTAAAAAAGCAACAGTATTTATATTAAGAGTTTAAATCAATATCTACAAAAAAGATTCTGCTTGGCTTCTAAAAAAGAAAGTACCACTTTGTCTGATTTACGTTGATATATTTGTTTAGATAACAAATATACTATAACCAGAAATAATATGGCCATCGCAATTTTATAAAACTGGATTTTAGACGTGCGCTGTTTATTAATTTTTGATTGACCTTGTTGAAAAGATACGTTAGTCTCTTCATTAAGTATTTCTGGTTTTTTTACTTCATTAGTAATTAATTTTCTTATTGAATTGATGTCGTTTTGAATGTTGGACATGATTGATTTGATCTCAGCAAAATTTTTGGAGAAAGAATCGATGACGCCAGTGTAGTCTACCTTGTTAGAATCTTCATTGATAAATTGATCAAGACGCGATAAAAATTCATTAAATGTGTCTACGTTAAAATAATGGTCGTTCGGGTGGGTCATGTTATCATCAATCTGATCAGCGGTGTTTGTTATATTGGATTGATAAATATCTGTTTTGAGCCTGGGTGAATTGTTGATTTGGTCGGTCTCAACAGTAGCTTTTTCTTTTGAAAAATCGTTAGTAAAAAATATTGAACTGACACATTCTGAAGCTGCAGAATATTCCATGGAAATGTCGTTAGTGTAGCAAACATCTTCGGCAACACTTGGAGAGTTTTCACTAAGGTTACTGTCGATAACACTAGAAGCTGCAACTGATGAATTTTCATTAGAGAAAGCAATTTCATCTGAAGAAAGTGACTCGTTTTCATCTTCTGAATTAGTGTTTGTCGGAATGTTAGAGTTGGATGCGGTAGCGCTAATATTCTTTTCGTATTGTGGAATTTTAGAATCGATGTTGATGCAAGCAGCGTCTGATTCTTCTTTGAAATTTAATAATGAATTGGTTTCTTGCCTGGCTGTTGATTGAGAATTGGATTTGAGTTCTTCATTATCGATTTTCGCATCGATCTTGTTAATTTTCGTTGTTGAGTCGTCGTTATTGTCCAAACCAATAGCGTCATGACCGTCAATCTCTGCTATGTTATCATTATTTTCATCGCTGCATTTAATTGGTGTATCAACAAGCATTTGGCCATTCGAATCTATAGCCAATGACTTTGGTTGTTCAGACGTATGAAGCGATTTTACTTTTTCTGGAAGTTCAATTTTTTCTGTTAGCTCCGAATCACAATTTATCTTATTCGAATTCTCTTCAGTCATTCGGCTTTTTTGTAAAAAACTTTCGCTCTTTGATTCTATTTTTGGTTCGTCTTTCTCGCAAATGAATTTAGATGGGGTAATCGTTTCATTTGTGCCCATTGTGGAATCATTTAAGTTGGACAACTCTGAAGTGTTTTCGCTTGTATTTATGATGTTATCTGGATTGCATTTCATTTTAAAATAGTAGTCTTCATTATTTTTTTTCAAGGATTTTTCCAAATGTGCAGCTGTTTCAATATCAATTTGTAAGCTGATTTTATTACTTGTTTGATTGATATTCTCTTTAGATAAGACATCATTCGCTTTTTTGTCCATAATATTTAGATTTTCTCCGTTTCTCTCATTGGCGACATTAGAATCTTCAGCTAAGATACCAGTCGAAGAAACTTCACTTGGCTGAAAATGATTTAAACAGTCATCTGATTGTTCTTGTATTAGTTTGTTGTCTAATGAAGATTTCTTATTAGAAACACTATGACCGTCTGTATCAGGGTTTGAATTAGAAGATTGTTTGTTTTTTACATTACCTTCAACACTGGACACAATATGCGAACTTATTCGGACTTGGGAATCCGTTTTACTATTGTCTCGATTTTTTTTTTGTTTAATAGTATTTTTATCAGAACTGTTTGATATTTCTTTTTTTGGTTTTGGCATCGTAACTTGTTTAAACTCGTTATTTATTGACAAAATGATTTAATTATTACAACTCAGAATAACTATTAATCTTAATACTAAAAATAAAAAATGATGTTCTAAAATAACAAAAATTATGTAAAATTGATTAACCGAATATATTTTTTATGAATAGGATATTATTTGATTAAACTTGTATTATAGACCGTCATTTTTCCCCAGTAAACAAATTTATGTGGGGTTAACCATTTTTTAAATGAATGATCAAAAAATAAATTGATTGTACTATTGAGTATAATGCAGTATGTTTTTATGTAAGTTATATAAGGGTGATCATGTCCATGATAGATAATAAAAAATAAATCTTTGATCGTGTTGGAGATTATGTCGACACACAAATTAATTAATTATAACAAATGCTTAAAGAGTATGCATCAATAGAAGAATTTGCTAAACAAAATAATACCAATACGATAATTAAAAGAATTCTAATAGCAAATAATGGAAACGCTGCTTTGAAATTCGCAAAGTCCATAAAAGAATGGTGTTTACAAGTTTTTAATAATGAAAATGAAATAGAACTTGTAGGTCTGGTAACTTGTGAAGATGAGTCTGGATCTGCAGAGTATATATCATTTTTAGACTTTGTAGCTAGGCTGCCTGGTGGAAGTAACAACTTTAACTACGCGAACATCGATGAGATTGTTAAAGTCGCGAATGCTTTTGAATGTGACGGGGTATGGCCTGGGTGGGGTCATGCGAGTGAAAACGATGAACTGCCGAGAGCTTTATCGTCAAGAAGCAATGCGTTATGGATAGGTCCGTCTGCTGAATCTATGGTTGCTGTTGGGTGTAAAATTGCAAGTACAATAGTAGCTCAAAATCATAACGTTCCAGTTGTCAAGTGGAGCGGAAGTCGCGTTAAACTAGAAAAAAAAAAAGATGGGACTGGTTTTGAGGAAATTACTCAAAGTCATATTCAGGACGCATGTATTAAGAGCGTAAACGATTTAGTAACTTTGTTAGAAAATAATATGATTGACGTTCCTTTTATGCTAAAAGCCGCAGCTGGTGGCGGTGGGAAAGGTATTAGAATTGTCAACAATATAGAGGACGCTGAAGATGCATATAGACAAGTCTGTAATGAAGTTCAAGGTAGTTTAATTTTCGCTATGAATTGTTTAAGTAACTGTAGACACATTGAAGTTCAAATATTAGGCGATAACTACGGAAACGTTTTACCTTGTGGTACTCGAGATTGTACTATTCAACGACGCCATCAAAAAATTATTGAAGAAGGTCCACCTATTTGTCTTGATGAAAAAACTAAAAATGAAGTAATGGAAGCTGCAAAGACTTTATGTGAAGCTGTCCATTATAAAAACGCAGGTACGGTTGAATTTTTGTATGACAATGAAACGTCAAAATTTTATTTCCTTGAAGTGAATGCACGGTTGCAAGTCGAACATGTTGTAACTGAATTACTAATGGATGCTAATTTACCAGCTGCTCAAGTCCAAATAACAATGGGGCTCGAACTTGACAAAATCGATACATTAACTAAGTACATTGAAGAGAAAAAGAACAATCTCATTAACAAAAAACACTGTATTGCAGCGAGAATCGTAGCTGAAAATCCTGAAAAAAATTTTCAACCAACAACTGGAAAAATACACGAGTTACACATGAATGGCAGTCCTAATGTTTGGGGTTATTTCAGCATTGGTCAAGGCGGTACTGTTCATCAATATTGCGATTCACAAATTGGTCATATATTTTGCGTTGCAGATAACAGAGAACAAGCCAGAAAATACCTTGTAAGAGCATTACACCAACTTACAATACGAGGAGAAATATCCGTTAACATATCAGCTTTACTTGTAATTTTAAACCACGAAGATTACATTGCAAATAAAACTTGGACAAAATGGCTTGAAGATAAAAACATATGTAGAGTCCAGCAAATTACAGATGTTTGCTCTATTTCTCCAACTTTTTTTAATGCAGTTCTCTATGGAGCGACTTATAAAGCAATTACCGAATTTAGAAATAATGAAGAAGAATTTAAAGCTAAGATTAATCAAGGTCAAGTTCCTGGTAAGTTGCTTGAAAGCGTGCAATGTACTTTATTATATCAAGGTGCTTTAAAATTTATTACATCCTGTTATCAATCAAGTAATAACACCATTAAAGTTACATTAAATGGATCAGAAGCAACGGTGAGATATAACGAATCGTCAACTCAACTTGATAAAAAAATATCATGGTTTTTTATGAGTGAGGGAATTGACTTTAAACATAGAAAAGTTGGGTTTCAGGAAAATACCGATATTGGTGAGTTAAAAGTTGAGGTAGATCATCAAACATACTGTTTTTCAAAGGAACAAGATCCTACACAATTTTGTGCTACTTATTCAGCAAAACTTGTGCGTTGGTTAGTGGAAAATGGATCTTATGTAGAAAAAGGTACTAACATCGCAGAAATTGAATTGATGAAAATGTATCTGCCATTATCATCTGAAATTAGTGGAACTATAACTATTTTACAATCAGAAGGTGTAGTTTTTCAACCTGGTGTATTACTAGCAACTTTTGAGCCTCCTGCTCATGTAGTAGTAAAAAAACCCACTGTATATTCAGGCACTTTTGCCGAAGTATTGAAAAATACAACAAGTGTTAACTTAAATAAACATCATCCTATAGTTTGCTGAGCTTATTATTGTATTATGTAAACAATTAATAGCTATATATCATGTGCTTAAAATAAAAAATCTTTATCATTATTTTGTGATATTCTAATATACAAAGCGTAAACTTGTTATTATATGTAAATACTCATGAGATGTCATGATATTCTTCACTCAACATAGTTTTTTAACGTTATTCAATTTAGTTGATATAAGGTTTATGTTTCATTAAATTTTAATCTAGTTTACACATCTCTGTGTGTCATCTTTACAAAATTAGAATTTTTTTGCTACTCAGCTTATTATTAGTTTATATGTTTTTCTCACAATATAATGAACTAGAAACATTTAATAATGCACGAGAAGTATTATATAATACTTTAGCAGGATATTATTTAACTAAAACTGAAATTCAAGAAGCAGTTGACGTTTTCATTATTTCTACTTTGCAGTAAGTTTTATAAATCTAGTAGGTTTACCTCAATAAAAATTAGTGGTTGGCTTATAATAATAAAAATTGATTTAAAAGTTTATTACGAAATATGTTCTTTTAGTTCCAAAAAATTACCTATCTTAGAACTTTCTAAAGCGTTATCTTGTTCGAGAAATAATATTAATAATGATGCAATCAAAGAAATCGAAAAAGTAATTGATAAATTAATGACAAGAGTTCAGAATGATGAGAATGCTGCAGTGAATGATAAACAGTCGCCTCGTTTGACAAAAATAAAATTACCAGCAAATGCAGTGATGAATGACAATTTCAGTGAAAATATAAATATAAATGGAAACCCTTGTTTGGATTTTGATTCACTTTTATCAAGTGAAATTCAAAAATTACATAATAAGTTTACTTCAAGTGGTTTGATAGCTCCAGCTATTGAAAATGTGTTAACCAAATACTATAATGGGTATATCATCAATTGTTGCGCTGAGATAACTAGTTTAATTGAATTATATTTACGAGTAGAGGAGATATTTTATACTAGTGAAAATCCCGTGGCAGAGCTCGTTATTCATAGTAAAAGGCCTGAAATGACTACTGATCAACTTTTGTATTTTGCTAGAAGTCATCAAGCTTTAAAAAGAAAGAATATTTTAATTCTAAGCTTATTAAATATTATATCTTCTAAACCCATATTGTTATCTTTATTTGATCCATTAGAACATTCGGTACGTCAGCTTTCAAATTTATCCAAAATCGAATATAGTGAAGTAACCGATGCCACTAGAACTTTATTATTATGTGTAAGAGAAGGAGTTCCTTTTGATCAACATACGATAGAGGTCATGGCTCGATTGAAGGCAGTAATTGAATATGGAAATTCGGGAGCCACAAGTCCTTTTACATCTATGCATCATTTGTTTCGAGATCCAGAATCAATGCAATTTGATATGGCTCATTTGCCTAATTATAACGAATATAATAATGAAGTCTCAACTTTCAAAGAATTATTAAAAATTATTCAACCGACCTTAGATATTACACAATATTCTACTGAGGCCCTACTATTTGCTATTTGCAATGGAGATAGAGAAATCAGTGAATTAGCAATTAAACTTGTACTTTTACGAGTAAACGGTTTTCGTTGGCAGATATTGAAATCATTAAATATAAAATTTCAAGATGATGTTTGGAATATTTGCGATGAAGAAACTAAAAGTAAACATACTTATAAACAAGAAAAAAATTCAGTTATTGTACGATGGATGAGTCCTCCTATTATTTCTTATGAATGGTTACAACGTTCGAATGATTGTTTAAGGCCTGATAATCAGTGTGCAAACGAATCTGAAGTTGGCTTCAAAGAAACATCGATATCATCAGGTCATTCTACTTATGTTAATAGAGGAGCGAAATTTTATCATATGATAAACGATTTTTCTGTTGTCACAGATGCTGAGTATGATATTGATATGCTTTATAATACGCTTGCTATAGTAATTACAAACCCTGATAATATTTCCGTTTCTTTGAGAGAAAAATTAACAGAATTGATGGAGATTGAATTGCTTTATGCTGTTTCAATTAAGCCTAGAGGAGTTAGAAATTTATTTATACTTTTCATTAATTTAGAATTCTCCATTGACAATTTCGTTGACTTACTAAACGAAAATGCCGATACGTTAGCAAGAATCAATATCAATTTAGTTTATTTAACACACTTAGCCAACCATCCTTCAGACAACACTTCACCAGCCAAAAATTCGTTTATTACAGGATTGCCAAAAGTAGCTCCTGTCTTAAACCATTATTATTATCGTAATATTAAAGAAATTCCCTATGCCAATACAGCGCCATTTCATAAAAATTATTTTGTGGAAGAAAAATTATTACGACATTGTGAGCTCCCTCTTATACAAAATCTTGAACTTCGTCGAATGAGATTATATAACATTTGCAAGTTACCATGTATGTACCCTAACATACATGTCTATGAAGCCGTTCCAAAAGCAAAAACTGATGAGACACCAAGATTCTTATTAAGATTAATAACAAATATTAATAGTGCAATAACTAGTGATATTGGGTTATATGAAGTTGAAAAATTAATTGTAAATGGTTTGAACCATTTGGAGTTATTGATGCGTGAAAAAAAAAATGCTTCCAATAACCATATTCTTCTATCCGTAAATTATATTAAAGTAAATGATGTACTTTGCGGCAATTCTGGAAATAAGGAATTTGAACAACTAAATAAACTAACCCCTCAGCTAGCAGAACAAATTGTAAGAGATTTTTATAACAAATATTCACAAAGAATTAAAAAATTTAAATGTAATACCATAGAAGTAAGATTTAAAACTAAAATAATAGATGCTGACAAACGTTATAAGCCAGTTAATTTAACTGATGGATCGTACCCTTGCAGAGTTATTCTACATATTGGAGAAACAGTTAAAACTGAAAGATATGTAGAATTACAAAATCCGTCGACAGGAGAGCATATTTTTGCAGCACTTTATTCTGGTGATACTGTAAGTACGCTGTTTTTGAAAAGCAATACAAACAAATCAGTGCCCATAGATAATAAATCCGCTACACATATGAAATGTGTAACTGATTATTATAATCGAGAAGATCTTGATGGTAAAAGTGTTGATACCCCACATAGTTGGAATGGTGAATTAGAAGCAAAACGTGAAATAGCTAAAAATGTTAACACGTTCTATGTCTATGATTTTATTGATTTACTAGAATCTGCTATGCAAGAAAGCTGGAAGAAATGTCCAAAACATAGTTTTACCACTGATCATCAATATCCTTCAGACAATAATCCTACATTATTACTACCAGAAAAATTGATTGAGGTTGTTGAGTTGATATTAAATAATAACCAGCAATTAGTAGAAAGTTCTAGATGTCCAGGATATAATACATGTGGAATGGTTGCTTGGAAAATGCTGCTTAGAACACCGGAATTTCCAAAAGGCAGGAGAATAATAGTAATAGCTAATGATATCACTTATCAGCTTGGCACTTTTGGAGTTGAAGAAGATTTACTATTTTTAAAAGCTAGTGAATTGGCCCGAGAACTTGGTATTCCAAGAATTTATATTGCTGTAAATAGTGGAGCACGTATTGGCTTATCCGAAAATCTTATTAATGTGTTTTTAGTGGAATGGATTGATAAGAATAAACCACAACTTGGTTGTAAATATATTTATTTAAAAGATGAAGATTACATTAAGGTAGGTGGAAAAAATTGTGTGAAAGCTGAAAAGGTAGTTAATTCTGACGGTGAAGAAGTTTGGAAAATCAATGATATAATTGATACTAGTTCTAATTTAGGTGTCGAAAACCTCATGGGTAGTGCAATGATAGCTGGAGAAACAGTGAGAAATTGCAAAAACAATTTTACACTTACTTTTGTTACAGGAAGAAGTGTCGGCATAGGAGCATATTTAGCTAGATTGGGCCAGCGTGTTATTCAAAAAGATTGTGTTGCCCCAATAATATTAACAGGTTTTCAAGCTCTTAATCGAATTTTAGCTAAACAAGCTTATTCTAGTAATGATGAATTAGGTGGAACTAGAGTTATGGCTAATAACGGAGTTACTCATCAAGTAGTTAGTAATGACTTGGAAGGTTGTATAGCTATCTTAAAATGGTTATCTTTCGTTCCAGAGCACATAAACGGGCCTTTACCAATACTGATTCATCCTGGTGACCCGATTAACCGTCCGGTCAGATATACACCGAGTTCTTTAACAAATGATCCTCGATATTTATTAACTGGTTGTACTGATTCCAAAGGTTTTTGGCTTTCTGGTATATTAGATAAAGGAAGTTTTATTGAAACACTGGAAAGATATGGCAAATCGGTTATTGCAGGCAGGGGTCGAATAGGTGGTTTACCGTTAGGTGTGATATGTGTAGAAACTCGAGTTACTTATAACTGTATCCCCGCTGATCCAGCTTTACCTTATAGCGTGGAAGAAAAATATCCTAGAGCAGGCCAGGTTTGGTTTCCTGAAAGTGCGTACAAAACAGCACAATGTATATATGATTTCAATAAAGAAGAACTTCCCTTATTGATTCTTGCTAATTGGCGAGGTTTCAGTGGAGGTCAACACGATATGTATCATGAAATATTAAAATTTGGAAGCATGATTGTGGACGCACTCGTTGAGTATAAGCAGCCATGCATTATTTATATTCCTCCTAAAGGTGAATTGAGAGGGGGAGCATGGGTTGTTATCGATTCTCGAATAAACCCTGATTATATGGAAATGTATGCGGACACTGACAGCAGGGCTGGAGTAATCGAAACTACTGGTTTAATTGAAATTAAATATCGTGAAAAACGTCTGCGAGAACTGGCTTCCCGTGTTGACGAAAAATATACAAATACATCAAACGAACTAAAAAAATTGTTAGCGAGTGGCGTTTCACGAAATGACAAACATATAAAAGAATTAGAAGAAAAACTTGACAAGCGCTTTGAAATTTTAGCACCTGTTATGCGACAAATAGCGCTGCATTTTGCTGATTTGCATGACACTCCTGAACGTATGAAAGCTACAAATGCAATTAAGGAAGTTATTCCTTGGAACAATTGTCGCCAAATTCTTTATTGGAAAATTCGAAGTAAACTAATTCAAGACAACTTGAGAGACGAAATCATCAAGCAAGATCCACGAATAACTTTACAGGAAGCTCAGGAAATAATTAAGTCTTGGGTTTCAAATGACGGAACTAACATTGAAAACCCTCAAGAATTAGTAAGTTGGACGTGCTCCTACGTGCAAGACTTAGCTAACAAAATCAATTCGATTCGTTTTACTTATATTAGAGATATGGTTATAAATTACTCGAAAGAAAACATCAAAGCCGTTGCTTTAGCGTTGCGTTCGCTTGATTTATCGCAAGTCGAAAAAATTCAAAAGCTATTGGATCGTAGCTTGTCGCAATGCTTGTCATCTACGTATCATATTTAGCTGTTATTTCAGTTATGACAATTAATATCAACTTTTAAAAATAATTTCAAATATTACCTGAAGACTGTCGTTTTTATTTCTTATAACGCTTGTTTGTATTGCTGTGTCCTTATATATGTATTGAGCTGGGTCAAACTTACTAGGCTCAAAGCTTGAAAATAACCTTTAAAAACATACTTAAATAAATCTAGGTATTCTACAAGAGATTCTGTCGTGCAGTAGTCTAATGGCTGAATAAATAGCAAGTTGTTGACGATAAAAAAATCTACAAAAATATTGGTACATCTACATACACTTGTTCTGGCTTGTTAACAGCTCGATTCGTGTGCAAGAAGAATTAAACATTAATAACCAAGCGCTATTTAAAAACTTGTTTAGTAAGACGAGGTGAGAAGTTTCAATCGAAATCTTGTTCAAACGCAAGGATAAAACAAAAAGTTGCCGTCCCAAATCTAAACCTATTGAACGAATCATATCCATTTTCTTGTTGTGGGACAAGCGTGGATTTCGAATAAGATAGTTATATAACAACTGTACCGAACGAAAACTAATTCTATTAGATTTTAAATTGTTTTTTAAAATAAGACTTTCCATGAAAAATCTTACACAGCAAAGTTTCCAAAGCTAAATTGTTTTACGAGCAATGTAACATGAACAAACCATAAAGTAGTTTAATAATAATGCGGAAAAATTAATAATCCCATAATAATTAATATTCGCATCTAGTATTATTCATTAATAATTTTTTGATTATAATATACTGTGTTTTGATGTAGTACAAATGGCTGAATGTACTGTCTTAAGTGATTACTATGACGGGCAAATAGATTTATATCAAAAAGAAATTTATCAAATAAAGCATGAAAATAAGCGGTTTGAGGCAGAGCGAGACAAGTTGAACAAACGCGTCAGAGAGCTTAAGAGCGAATTAGAAGGCCTACTCGAAAGTGCTTATCCGGTGGGTGAAGTAATCAAGCCTTTGGGTAAAACTCGAGTGCTGGTGCGACTGAATTCTGACGGCAGATACGTCGTCGAACTTGGGCCCAACATCAAAATAGAAGATTGCAAACTTAACACGCGAGTGGCCTTGAGCAGTGACAGTTACGTCATTCACAAAATTTTACCTAATTCCGTAGACCCATTAGTCAGTCTGATGAAGGTCGAAAAAGTGCCTGACAGCTGCTACGCCGATATTGGTGGTCTGTCAAAACAAATAAAAGCAATTAAAGAAGTGATCGAATTGCCCATCAACCACCCTGAGTTGTTCGAGCAACTCGGTATTGCACAGCCCAAGGGAGTCTTGTTGTATGGACCTCCTGGAACGGGAAAAACCCTATTGGCGGGTGCTGTTGCACACCATACCAACTGTACGTTTATCCGGGTTAGTGGAAGCGAACTAGTTCAAAAATACATCGGTGAAGGTAGCCGAATGGTTCGGGAACTTTTTGTCATGGCGAGGGAGCACGCGCCTTCTATTATATTTATGGACGAAATCGATAGCATAGGGTCGCAAAGATTCGACAAAACTAGCGGTCCACGTGGCGACAATGAGGTCCAAAGAACTATGTTGGAACTTTTGAACCAGCTCGACGGGTTCGAAAGTACACAAAATATAAAGGTTATCATGTGTACAAACAGAATTGACATTTTGGATGATGCTCTACTTCGACCTGGTCGAATCGATCGTAAAATTGAATTTCCTAACCCAGACGTAGATGCCCGGTACGATATTCTACGAATCCACTCCAGAAAAATGAATTTACTTCGTAATGTTGACCTGCATAAAGTAGCAGAACAGCTCTACGGCGCGTCTGGCGCAGACGTTAAGGCCACTTGCACCGAAGCAGGAATGTTCGCCCTGAGAGAACGAAGAGTCAACATTACGCAAACAGACTTTGAATTGGCTGTGGCCAAAGTTATGAAGCAAAGCAAGTCACAAAATGCGAGTGTACAAATGCTGCTTCGATAACTGTTTGTTTTAGTTTTACATTATTATTCAATGTTGATACTCAACAATACTCTGTTCTATTGGATGTGTATACGCTTTCACAATCTCATTAATTAGATGTGGAGACAACCTAATGATTTCGGTGTTTTGATATCTGAGGTTATCCGTTTCGTTTCCGAAAATTTTCACTAGTATTTTTTTAGAAATACGGTAAATAAAATTATTGTGTTTGTATAAAGTTCTTTGAGCACGCAACCCAATCACACAAATGATTTCCATTATCAAGATCACCAAAAACGCTATGATAGCAGGCCCAAGTTTTGTGGGGCTGTAATTTTTGTTGTTACTTTCTAGATTTGTAGAAATCAAAATGGCCGTAAAATATCCTGTTGCTACTAAAATAAAAAGAGACTGATATCCAAACATTTGAGTCAGCGCGGAATACGCAATTGTCCCTGAACTTTCGTGTCTTGTCATCCAAAGCCCGTTTGAAAAGTTGTATTTTTCCGTCCAGTACTTTAGTGAGAAAAACATTCCCGCGATCAGAGGGATTATAGGGCAGTGCAAACTGAAAATCAGACAAATTACGAAGAAACTAACATGGAAAGCGTAGTTTGAACCGAAATTGAACTGCCATAGTGAAAAAGATCGTTTGAGAAGTCTGTTGACCAAAATAAAAATACAAGTTGGCAATTGGAGCAACTGCATCGTAGTACTAACCAACGTTGTGTTTATCAAGTTACGTAGGATGAACCCACCACTAGCCAAAGCAGCGTTTAAACCGATTTGGCGTAGTATAGTTATAGCGTTTTTCTCTGACAAATAGTAAAACAGAGTTGACAGTGATGTTGCTTCCACAAGTGGCAAAAAAACCATATTTAAAATGAGGTAAGCAACGTTAGAACGCATCACTGATTTTTCAAAAGAGGAAGCGCGCCAATACAACGTATGTTTGGCTGCCCAAGTAACGAGAAGGGGAAGAATAGCGTAGTTTATAGCATACATTAGATTTGGCAGAAGAAGTCCGTTGATGTAGTTACTCAGAATAACTATATTGTCTAGAAAGAGTTCTATTTTATTGACCAAAGGGGCTACGGCATCTGCCACGAAAATAGACGAAGTAACGATCAGAATAAACGTGGCTACTGCGAGGTTGAGCACAATACTCCGGAACAATCTCGAACCAGACGTGATGTGAATGTTCTCCCAGATAATATCGCTTGGCGGTGGCGCCATAGCGATTTTCCACGATTTTTTCCATATGTTAATGTTGTTCTGTTTTGGAACAGGGCTGAAAGACTTTTTGACGTCGTTTAAATTGTTGGACATTGCAAATTCACACGCAGCAATCGACGTAAAACAAACAAAAGCCATTCCAACGTTGCGTTCTGGCAGCGTTTTCGACAACCACTGCAAAGTGTCAAATAAGTTGAGACTGATGCCGTATTCTTTAGTGTATTTCACCAGCAACTTATTGAGCTTTTTGTCTGGTTTATTGTTCGAAATTACTTTTTTGATTAATTCTGAAGGTGTGGGGTAGTACTCCATTATGTTTCTGCTACCACGTATTTGCGACCAGATACAGAAATTTGAGTTTCTATCTAAATTAAGAGAATTTTTAGGTTTTGAAGCAGCTGGTTTTTCGATGCAATACTTCATTCCGTCTAGCTGCGTGGAATAATTGATCGAGCTGTATTCGGACCGCGTGGCTAACCGGTTTATGGTTTTGAGTGGATCAACTGTATTTTCTTGTTCCGTCGTTTCCTCCTCTATCTGATCTTCGTTTTCTTGGTTACGCCAAGCGAGAAAGCACTTATACCAAGGCTTTGGCGGGCCGTGAAAATGGTGTATTTTTTCGTATATTTGCTGAAGTGTCTTTCTGTGTTTGTTGAAGCGTCGAAATGCTTTTAAACTTTTTGAGTAGTCTCGAATCAAGTGTATATTTGCGATGTCTTTGGGCTGGAATTTAGCCATCAGGGCGTGATAAATGGGATCTGGTGAAGCAAGATACTTGTGAATTCCGTATATCAGAACTGTGCAGGTGTTTGCTCGAAAACGCGTCGCCAAGTTGTTTATATGTTTGGGTGAGTCGGTTTGTTCAGATAACGTCGTTATCGCAATGTCTCGAATTTGAGTAATAGATAGGTACGCTGCAGAGAGAATTATCAACCAGGCCAAGTAGTAAAGCACCCAGATTCGCGTATGCAGCGTTGAAGGTATGTTCGTGATTATTATTTGTTCTAATGCATAAATGGATTTAAACTTTTTATAAACGTTGGTGTTTTCGACTATGCCTGCCGTGTAAATGAGGCTAAAACCCATCGTCATGGTAATGGTGGCGATCGCATAAAAAAAATAAGCGCATTTCTTCAAGTTTAAAAGATAAAGATATGTGTCTTTGTTGTGGAAATCTTCAATTTTAAAGTTCCAAACTTTGTAAAAATCAGACATTGCCAGCCGAGTTTTCCAGGGTATATCGGTGCCCTCGCCCGCTTTGCGGAACTCACCGCGAACCAAATTGTCTGTTAAATGTGTAAATTTAGTTTTCTAGTCAAACTTACCAGGATCGAAAACATCGTTTCGATATGGCCGGATCACAAAACACCACATTATTGTGCCTATAGTAAAGATGCTGATACCAGATATGAGAGCAATTATCAAACTGCTCGTAGATGAAGCCGACATTTCTTCTAGAGACGATTTTTAAATATTCCGCCAAATTGAGATATTACATTTATATGTTCGGCTTTGATCACGAAAATAATTTAATAAAATTGGAAAAATTATTCAATTTTAGATGATTTCTGGAGGTTTTCTGAAAAATATTTTATTGCGATTATTTTTTTAAAATTCCTAATTAAATGTAAATAAAATGGCATCCAGACGAATAGCAAAAGTAAGTTTTCTATCACGCTAAAACACTGTTTCAGGAACTTAGGGATTTGAAAAACGATCCTCCGGCCCTTTGTTACGCTGATACCGTTGGCGACGATTTATTTCACTGGAAAGCGTACATCATTGGCCAAGAAGATTCCCCCTACGAAGGCGGTAAGTTCGAGCTCGAAATAACTTTCTCCACGGACTACCCGTTCCGGCCCCCTATGATTCACTTTGTGACCAAGATTTATCACTGTAACATCAGTAGCCAAGGAAAAATCTGCTTGGACATTTTGAACGACCAGTGGAGCCCTGCGCTTACTGTTGGCAAGTTGCTTCTCTCGATTTTGTCGCTGCTGACCGATCCAAACCCAAAAGACCCCTTGGTGCCTGAAATTGCGAAGCTGTACCTCACTGACAAAGAAGCTCACGACCAACGAGCACGCGAATGGACTCACAAATATGCTCGCTAATTTTTACTTAAATAATTAACATATCACAAGAAATTACTTGTCGCCTTAATAAAAATAAATTTATCTTTAAATAATCTGTATCAAATTAATTGAGTTAGCCGTTTATAATTATCCTGCAGAACCTTTTATATTCAGTTAAGATTATGTTTAGCTAGATGTTCTGACTTCTTTATTTTCGAGAATAGCTCGATGCAACAGTAGTTTATACAGCGTCAACAGTTTTTGAACGCATGTGTCTGTTGCGTTATTGTCGTCGAAATTTAAACAGTCCAGCACAGACTGACATTTAACCACTTCCAGTTTCAAATTTCTTATCAGTTTTTTTTTCAATCCGTCGATGTTCTCCGCGCCGTTCTCGTTATTTTCCTGCATGAACAAGTTGAATCTTTCTGCGAGGATGGAGTACCACAGTTTGGAATGCGTATTATAAGGTTTAAAAAAGAACAATAAATTTTTCGATATTATGTAAAGCAACCTGTCGCTCTCAGATTTTTTTTTGGTGTAGTTTACGCATATCAAAAATTGTCTGCAAATGTAACGAATCTGCTTGACAAGCGAGTTCAACTTGGCATTCTGGACTTCCAAAGAGTAATATTGCGCGAGAGCTTCGTTTTCTCTTTCAAGAACCTTGCTTGAAAATTGTTTAGAGAGCGTTGGATTAACTTTTGTCTTTTGCAATATGTCTTTGTTTTCTTCCTTGTATCGGTGAATGACCGTGTTTGAGAATCTTTGAGCAAGATCTGTCTTTTCTTTATTACTGGAGTCTTCAGTAGGCTCATTTTCCACGCTGTTCGGCTTGTTCTCACGGTTCTCTTCCGGATTAGACCACGCAGCTTCCGTTTTGATTGGGTCGGCGTGCTTGGTCGAATTCTTGTTCAGACTTTCATACTCAGCCTGCGACAAAATTTCGTTCGTTTCCAAATTTTTGAAGCGCAGCTCACGGTCCAGCTCAAAAACCAGGAACTTCTTGGTTTCGTCGAGCGCTCCAAAATGTTTATTGTCGTAAACCCATTCTAAACCATACTCGTCAATGCAGTGCCAATAGCTGCCGTTGAATTCCCACTTGAGTAGTGCGTTTGAGTTGTTCGGATGAACTAACTGATCATAAAGCATTTATTAAAAAAAAAATAATTTCTTGATATCAGCAGTCTGTGTAAATAGGTGCTGATCAGAAAAATGTATAAATTCCCAAACAAAAACTTAGCATGCATTCACTAACATGTAGATTAAGAGACGCACCTTAATACCGATACTTTAATCATGAGAACTATTTCCTTAGTACTTTTATCTACCCTAGCTCTGTCTAGACCTGTTCCATACACCGTTGAAGCCGACGCAACTGGTCACGCAACTAGATATGAACAAAAGATCGTTAGAAAAAACGACGACTCTCCTGCTTTAATTAGAGAATCTTTTACAAAAGTCAAACTCCCAATTAGAGAACAAGTTATCAATTCCAAAACTTCTGAGAAAACCTTCGAGGAGAAAAAATACAACAGAAACAATACATACGATGCCGACTCCAACCAGAAGCTTCGTTCAAAATACGAACACAACTCCAACTTAGGCTCGTCTGATGATTTCTTCTACACCTTGTTGGAACACCCTGAATCGCTCAGAAAAGCCAGGATCGACCTCAGATTTGAAAAAGATTCTAAATACCCTGCAGTTGTAACCATTGTCGATCAGGAAGATAATTCTAAGCCTCTTTCAACCATGTGCATCGTCAAGCAAATTTTGAAAGACGCACCAGTCTCGAGATCTGGGTGCATTTTGAGCAAATTCAACCATTTAGCCAAGTCTTGCGAAAAATGCGACAAGCAAAAGACTGAGAAGTTTGTCAAGAAAATCGCCGCTATGAAAGCCGATGTGGAAAAGAAATACAGAAACTCTGGTGTATTAGTTGATTCTAAAACTGCTAAAGAAGATCTCGTTTTCGATTTAAAGAATAAAAATTAATTTTGCTTAATCTCAATATTTTCGCTTCATTATAAAATATAACATCAATAAATCTCGTAATTTATCAATTATTTTGTAAACTTAAAAAAATTACGCCAAATTAAATTCTTTGGAGTATGAAAAAAAACAAAAATAACCAAATATATAAAAATAAAGACTTGTAAGTTTACATAAAAAATTATATTAGGTTATCATATGGCTTAGTTTCATTGGAAATTGTTGAAAAAACTGATCAAAAAACAAACAATTACCTGCCAGTTTTTGACTTGCTTAAATCAGATGACGAAAACGAACCGTTTGATCCTACTCTGTGCGACGATCAAGGCGAGTTCGTCGTTCCAGCCGCAGATATGCATGCTCCAAGTACGATAAAACCGCCAGCAAGCCTTGAGGCCAAGTGCGGGTCTTGGTTAGAAGATGAACATCTGATTAAAGACGTTTCAGACGAGATACGCAACGCTTGGACCAGCTTAGAGATAGACTCTGGTGAAAAGCTAAGTGCAGAGCTTCTTGAACTTTTTAACAAACACAAACACGCCGTCAATCTGGAATCTGTTTTGCTGAATAACATAGCTGCGAAGCAGTGGAGGGCGCCTACATTGGTTCAAAAACTAGTGTGTCCATTGCTCTTACATAGCAATAGACACATCTTCATCTCTTCAATGACTGGGTCCGGTAAAACGGGTGCGTACTTGATCCCTGTTGTTCAGTTTTTGCTAAATCACCCTTACAAGGAAGACTCAATTTTCTGCTTGTTGCTGGTCCCGTCGCGCGAGCTCGTCAATCAAGTTATCGAAGTGTTGGAACAATTGACGAAAAACACTAAAATTAAACATGTACGAATCACAGGAGGGCTTTCGATTGATAAACAATTGCGTTTAATAAAAAAAAATGCGCACTTCATTGTAGCCACGACAGGCCGTTTCATAGACATTATTGATACTGTGAGCGAACAAGAAAACAGTCATACCGAAACTTTAAAACAAAAACTTTCGCAAGTGTGTTTTTTTATTATCGACGAAGTCGACCAAATCATTACGTCGGAAAAGTTTCGCAGATTGAAGTTTATATTTAAGAATTTGGATTTCAAAAAGTGCAGACTCATTTTGGCTAGTGCAACACTATCGATGCATTTGGAAAATCCTGATTCTAGACGCGAAAATCAAGAGGAGTTTTCACTGCTTAACTTCTTAAAGACGTTTATAAAAAAAGACAAGTATAACGTTGTGAACCTAAGTGTGCTCCAAAATAAAAATCTGCCAGACAAAGTAGCTTTGCCTAGCGGTTTGAGTTTCCACAGAATAATCTGTTCGTATGATAAAAAGTTTGAGTTGTTAGTTTTAGCGCTACTTAGTCTTTTCTGCGATCATAAACACAAGGACGATTCAGCTTACGTAATCTTTACGTCGAGCGTTACTTATCTCAATCTGTTATATAACCGTCTTTCAATTATTTTTAAGGCGTTAAACGTACGCATACTGAATTTGACAAGTCGTGTTAAACAAAAAAAACGTTACGAAACTATAGAGTCCTTTTTCAAAGAAAAATGTAAAAAAATCTTGATCTCAACTGATTTGGCAGCGCGAGGGCTCGATTTTCGAGATATCTCCTGTGTTTTTCATCTTCAAGTACCCAACACAACGGAGAACTTTGTGCACCGGAGCGGCAGAGCATCTAGAGGAGAAAACGCATTGGGACGAACTTGTATCATCGCCCAAAAAGACGAAGTGGAAGCTTACGTAAAGATTTTCACCTCGCTCGGACGAAATTTTATGTCTGTGCCAGTTTTCGTTCAGTCTGTTCCGTCCATCGTCACGACAAAAATCAACAAGCTAACTTCCGCAACAGTGCAGATAGAAACTAAGCAGTTACATATAAAGAAGTCAACCAACAAGGTCAACAGTTTACTCAAAATGGCTAGTGATGCAGATTTGATTTACGACGGTTTTGAAGCTGATAATATTGCAGAAAAAGATCGTGCGAAAATGCTTACTTCCAAAAAAGAGCTAACTAACGTGGAAAAAATAAAACAATACATAGTAAAGGAGAGTAAAAACATTTTTTTTGATTTGAAACTATAAATATTCATAATTCACTGCACTATTGCAACTGCAATGTGATTCATTTTTGGTTATAGTTGTTTTTGTTTAAATACTGGTTGACAATCTGATCCGAATTCGGATAGTATTTTGTTGTGTTTGAAAGTTTGACAAGGTTCACGTCTTTGTCGTCAAACACGATTGACGAGGGTTGTGCGCTCGTCTCGTTTAAATTCTCGTTTTGCATCGAAATCGGTTGCGTTCTGAACAAGAGATTAGTAAACAAAAAAAAAACTAAAATCGTGCAGAACGTGCCAGCGAAATAGTATAAATTTCTGAGCGAAGAAAAGTTTCTTAATTTATTGAAAAATTGTTTATGAGGCCGCATTAATTGTGTCAAGGGGTTGACTTTCGTCTTTGGTTTGGGTAGAGTAATTGATTGAGCAGCATCGTCAATAGAGATCTTAACTTTTGTCGTGGAGTACGTGTCTTTGTTAGCTAAAAACATGAAACTGTGTGCTGTTAGTTTGAAGTAAGTTAAGTTTTCTGGGTTAGGATTAAACACGGATACAGAGTCTAAGTCGTTTGGCAGTAAGACGAAAACACCATCACTGTTGAAAGCAAAGATGTCAATTTGCCAAGCGAAAACGTGCGAAGTCTTTGTGAGAGAGTTGGAAACTTCACGACGTTGGAGCGAGATCCATTGTGGTGAGCTGAGCTTTATTTGGTAAAGCTTGAGGGTGTCTGTGTTTTGGTTCAAAATAGCTAGTGCGGAATCTTCTCCAGCATGAGTCTTAGTTTTCAAAACGAACAAGTTGTCTGTCAATTGGAAGTAGTTTTGGAATATACCAGAATCCTGAACTTGAGGGGACGAAGGATCGTTTCCAGACTGGTTCGTGGGGCGCAAAGGATCAACGCCGCCTTTAGTGTTCAAATTAAACAATGTGAAGGATTCGCTAACTTCGTAAGTTTTGGACGGCAGGAAAGAGACTTCATTAGACGAAGCTGAACACATAAGCTCAGTGTCTAAGTCTATAGGCATAAATAAACTCTGTAAAACAGTGTAGTCTGATCGCGCTTCGACTGGAGCGGGGGCATTAATAATGTGATTCAAAGCATAAAAGTTTTTGACTGAATCGAGTTTAACGATATCAGAAAAGTATTTGCTTATGCGATACTCATTTTTATATTCGGAGTTATCCTCGTTTTCTACAAAAGATATTGGTTCGTCTTTTAAAGCCAAATGAGGGTCGTTTTTTAAAAAGATATTGTAGCTGCCTGGGCTCGATCCGTTCCCGTGGAAACCGACTTGTAACCTAATTTTTGCTGCTGGCAAATGGAATTTTTGCTTGACTGTTTCAACACCGGTGTTTGCGTTTCGTACAACGTGCTGACAAATAGCAGAAACTTTCAGCGACAATAAACTGGAGTCGAACGAAATGAAATTGAAAGTTTCGAATAAATCAACCTGATCGAGTTTAGAAATCAATCTGAACGGGAACTGAGAATCGTTTAAAACAAAGTAAGTGTTGGGGTTGGAAAAAGACAATAAAGCTTTGCATTCCAACTTATCGTCTTCGTACGCAATAACGTTCTGGAAAAACTCTCTGAAGTCTTTATTGTCATCATAGAACCCTAAGTGGAAGCGAAGGTGGTTTATTGAGCCATAACGGATGTTTACTATACTGTTAGGCTCGATGAGCTGATTGTTGATGTACGTGTTGTACCCAGCAGGTTTCGCAACTGTAACTCGGATTGAATCGCCTAAATGATAGTTCAAATTTTCACTTTCTGTCAGTTTCACTTTGTATACACCGAATCCTTCGGTAGACGTCGAAACTATTGAACTAAAGCAGTTATCTATTTTTTTGACTTTAATTGCAGCTGTTTCTTTAAGTGGAATGAGGTTTTTGGGGGAGTTTGATTGATTTGTCAAAATAGATTCTTTTAGAATAATGGTCGTAGTATGAATATTGGGCGACTCGCCACCTAAGATTGTTGGCGTTACTTCAAAATGACCGAGCGGAAGATACAGCTCTTTAGGGTTTATCGATAAAGGTAATATAGCTTTGAAAGTTAGAATCTTGTCGTTTATTATATGTGAGTTGATGCGTAATGTTTTAACACCTGTTTGAGTGGCTTTGACTGTAAAATTATTCGTACTGGTTTTTGCAATAATAGTGTCGTCGCCAGACAAACTAGATATAGTTATGGGATATATTTGATACAACATGGGTATCAACTTGTTGCTATTCTTGTCAACGTAATACAATTCAATGTCGTACGAAGAATCTGTTTCCACGTAGTAAGTGCCGTTTGTAGATATTAATGAAGTAGCGTTGTGATTTATCGTCATTAAATACCTAGGTTTTGAAACTGACTTAAACACAGCTGACACGTGGTCTGAAGACCCAAGGTAAGCTTGATTGATTAAGCGAAGTTTGATTTCAGCATCCGTCTTGAAAGGTAAAGCTACGAAATGCAAGTTTGTAGAAATTTTAGACATAGTAGTTTGATTTGGTTCTGATGATATCTTTCCAACTAGTATTTTTTCGGAAAAATTCTTAATGTATATAATTTTAGCTGGTCCATAAGCAACCTCGAAATAACTGTTCGCAGATACTGAATCAGCTTCAATTTTATACAGTAAATTTTCTGATTGTAAGATGTAATCACTTTCAATGGCTCTAATAAATTTGGGTTGTGGCATGTATTGGATACTTGCGATGGTTCCCAATGCATATCCCTTTTCGAGTTTAATCCATTTTTTCTCTGTGGAAACAAATGATTTAAATTCTTTAAGTTGATTTCCGTCCTTGAATGAAGGTAGTACGTAGGCTAGTAAATGAACAAAGTCGAACCTGTCACTATCTGCCTGTTTCAAAGTGACAAGTGAATCACTTTCTCTTTTAGGATTAAATTCAATATCGTAACTGTTCACAACCAGTCTCCATTCAATGCCATAGTTGCTGTGAGAGTGAATAATATCACCATCTACGTCATAGAACAAGACGATGAATGATTGGTCGTTAAGTTTTTCAGCTTCGAAAACTACATGATTGCTTATTTGATCTGAAATTCTTTTTCTGCACGCATTGCTGAGTTTGTTGTTCCTCGGTGGCAAGAAGTATTTGGGCTTAGAATTCAAGGACAATTTTAGAGCATTATTGAGGTTCGATTGAGTTTCCAAAGATACATCGAAGGGAATTGCATTATGCTCGTAAGACCTAATTTTCACTTCAGTCGGTATCACACAGAAAATCGTAATGTTGTATTTGTACAAGTTCGATTTACTATTGTGAGTTTCATGTAAAATGTGCGTCAATGTTATATCACGCGCCATTGTGAGACATTCAACTTTCAAAGTTGAATCCTTGAACGAATATTTGATTTGATCTGAATTGGAATAAACCTGTTCCGAATAAGTATAGTTCTCGTAAAGTTTTTGTCCTAGTATGAGATTAATATCTATCGTACTTCCAACAGTCACCTTGTATTGCGAGTGATATGGATCGAACTGCGATTTATTATTTGCAGCATTAATCTTGATAGCACCTAAATTCTTCGCTAAAAAACCAAACAGAACGTTGTTTTGTACAACAGACTTTGTAGAACTATATATGTAGACACTGTTTTGCGCTGGCTTTATTGAGTCAATATTTATTAATGAATTCTGGTACGCACAATTTGTCAAAGTATAATTTCTGACAAAAGAAATATCCTTCAGGCTTGGGTTAGGGTCGTTATTCAACATACAATGCTTTTGTATTTTGGTGTTTATCAAAAATTCTCCTATTGTAGATTCAGATAAAATTTCGGCATCAATACAAGTAGCAAAGTTGTCCAGCCTCGAACCGTTCTCAATCTTTGTTAGCTTGAATCCTTTTCCATAGAGATCAAGGTTTAACAAGGGTGTCAGTGTAGCTTTACTGGAATGAATTTTATTTTTGCTGTAGCAACTGTCGAAAATTATTTTCTTATTTTGGAGTTTAAAACTGAATTTATCAAATGCGATGTTGTTGGTGTTGAGCTGACTCAATGGAGCGGCTAAATAAACCTGCAGTTTATCTTTAGATGTGTCCAAAAAGCCTTTTTCAACAACTTCGTCAGATGCAGCTAATTGTTTAATATCGGATATCAACAATTCGCTTGGAGGAAACACATTGCAAAGGTAATTCATTGACAAAACCGGAAAGCGTTCGTCTCTTATTTTGATCAAAGCGACACCTGTCTTCAAAGCCTCTACTTGAATTGAGTTCGTTTCTTTAATGAAACGCAGGGAAATTACGTCTTCGTTTTCACTCGAAAAGCTAAAGCGGTTTGAACCTCCATATAAGTTTTGAAAGAAGAGTGATCCTGGAGCAAGAACTAATTGACGATTTAGAATAGGTACGTTTAGAAGGGTAGTAGGGTAGGTTGTAGTGTTGCAAAGCTTGTTCGAAGGATCGCAAAATCTATTAAAATTCAACTTGTTGATTCCTAAGCTATTTAATTGGCTTTCTGTTAAGTCTTTCGACTGGTACATGTTGTAAATTTCGTCGTTAAAAGAAGCTGATAAAGGCTGCACAACTTTGAAGTAAATCTTTTCAGGGAATTTGTAAATAATCTCCTTATCCGACTCGATTTTTATGTTAGAGATGTATCCCTGAGTAACATTGTCTGCAACAGTAAAAGTGAAAAAAGCATTATTGGAAGTACGTTGATTGATTACGAAACCTGGTTCGTCGGTGTTTTCGGTGTTTACATCGAAGGTGAAGGAAATGTTTTCGGAGATGTATGCTGTCGTCGTAGAATTGCTTGGAGTAATGTTAAAATGAACTAGGTTTTCAATGCCTGCCACAACGTAAAAAGTTGAAGACTCTGTGTCGTAGCTGTTGACTGTGCGTTTAACAATCAAGTCTTGCAACATGTATTTGATGGAAAGGGAGGGGTTTTCGTAAACAAGCTTTTGAAGGTTTGCCTTGCTGTTAGGGTTCATCATAAACAAGTCTTCAGTGATAGTTTTATAAGGTCCCGTTTGTAAGATCAATTTCGACGGTGTAAACGATGTTACGGTGTGGTAGTCGACGTTGTCATGTTTCTCTTTGTTTATCGCTTTGATAATGCACGTCCCTTCTTTCGTGAGTTTGAATACGTTTGGTTTGCTGATAACAGTTACGTTGTCGCAACTATTATGATCCCACAAAAACTTTTTGGTGTAGCCTGAATTTATATTTTTGTTTTTAATAAGAGGCTCAACAGAAAGCTCAACCTCAGATCCTACAGAAACGAGCAAGTTGGAAGGGATAACCATGAAAGCTTCGTTCACGTCTATTTTAACTTCACAAGTAAGTGATTCTGAGTGCAAATACGAGGAGAACGTGGCTTTTACGGTTGAGACTCCGTTTTTCGTACCTTTGATCAGAAACACATCACTTTGCTTGTTTTCCTGTTCGAGCTTTTGACGAATGTAGCTGGGTTTGTAGACGTCGTTCGACAAAGAAGCTTCGACTAAACAATCCCTGTTGCTGATTTCCCATTCAAACTGAAGACCCTGGAGCGAAGTGAAAAGGTTGTTGTTAGCGTCAAACGCTTGAATTTCAAGTGTTTCATAGGTGTCAATAAAAACCTCTTTTGATTTCGTCACAACCTCAAAATGATCGATTTTGGAAAAATGCACTTCAGCCTGCAAAACAACTCCGGTTTTGATGTCAGTGGCGAATATAACTGACCTTTGCTCAGAGCTGCATTTTTCTGCAATATTCATTATTGTTATGGTGGAAACACATTCGTTGGGGTTTGTCTGAGAAGAATATTTTGAAACGTCCAAGCTGTCTGCCATGTGACTAGACTCGCTTTCAGTGTCTGAAACCGGTTTTATCCCTACCAGATGGGGCTTTTCAACAGTCCAAAAATAGCAAGCGTTGTATCCTGTGATAGTGGTAGAGACTCGGTACTTTGTGTTTTGCTCACACGGCAGCAAAACCGAAATAGGAGACAGTTGTCGATTTTCAACTGCCACGACAAACGATACTACGGTAAAAAGTAACGAGAATATCATTTTAAATCATTCTAACGGTGAAAACGTTTGTAAAATAAACGAATAGAAATACAAACTTGCTATTTAGTTTTTGTCTAAACAAAGTTTTTAAATTCTCCAACTAAATAAAAATCGAATCATATATAATTATTTTTTTTACGCATTAAATAAATTCGGGTTTGCTTTTTATTCCATCATTGATCAAATTAGAATTTTAATACTAAAATCAATTATGACAGTTGCATAACTGTTACTTATCGAAGTCAACCTATGTCTCTTGAAAGTTTAGTTATCAGCAATCTTCGTAAAACGTTTTTGAGTCCAATTAACAACCTGTATGTGAACTGCATCGAAGGTCCCATTTTGATTTTGGACGATTTCACTTTGGTTATTTTCAACAATTATTTCAAACAATTTGATTTATACGAAAACGCTATATTTGGCGTAACACAAATACATTTAAAACGCGACCCAATGCCTAATAGGTGTGCTATCTATTTTATCTGCTACAACGAAGAAAACGTAAAACTTTTAGCAAACGATTTTTCCAGCGAAAACAAAGTGTTGTACAAAAACTGCCACGTCTTGTGGGCTGAGCCAATTGTTTATAACCCCAAAATGCTGCAACCCATCACCAAATGTAACACTTTTCTAAAAAGAAATTTGAGTTTTGTCGAAAACCCTGTTGCGTTTGCTTTCGTAGGCAACAATTGCATCAGTCTCGCGTTGAACGGCTTTTTCAAGAATGTGTATGTGCAGCTGGGCGAAAAAAAAAACAACCAAGGCTTAAACTACCAGATCAGCACCTACGTAAACAGGCTGGTAGGTTTTTTGCAAATAATTGAATGCAAACCACGAGTTAGATATGTTTTGCAAAATGCAAACGAAAGAAACCTGTGCAAAAGCACAGCTCTGGCTCTGGACGAGTATTTCGACTTGGTAAACAAAGATTTCAAAAACGTGGCTGAGGTTTTGATTGTCGACAGGACCATTGACCTGAACAACCTCTTCTTACACAACTACAGTTTCGAAGCTTTAACGTACGACCTGCTGAACATTCCAGACAACACTTTTTCCACCAAGCTTAACAAGAAAAATCACTCCACGGTAGAAATCAAAGATGAACTAACCGATAAAACACTCTCTTATAAATTCGACAACTCTGAAAAACTCATTAGCGAAATCCGATATTTGCATATCCAAGAAACTGTTGAAAAACTAAGACTGGAAGTGCAAGAATTTACGCGTAGAAACGAGCACAATAAGTTTAAACAAGAAGACGACTATGAAGACGTGTACAAAATAATCTCCAGCTTGCCTAAATACAAAGAAGACTTTGAAATATTCGATAAGTGTTTGCGCACAGCCAATCTTTTGCTTTCAAAAATCAGAGATTTAGAGCTGCTGAAAATTTCCGAGATCGAACAAGACATTGCAACGGGCTTTAACGAAAAAGGAAAACTTATCAACACCTACAGTGTGCTCAATGAAATTTCAAAAGTAATGTCTGCGAACGAAGCCGTGTACGACGAAATAAAAGTGCGTCTCCTGCTCCTTTACTTCACGAATTTCAATGGAATAACGGATGAAGACGCTAGTCAAATTATAAACAACTCCAACCTGTCGTTAAAAGCAAAAGAAACAATTCAAGCTTATTTGTCACTAAAACTACACCAAACAGTCGTGTCAACGCCTAATAATAACGTAAAACACAACCACGTAATTCTTGGAAACAAGGAAAAACAAAGTTTCTATGAAAAGCACATCCCAAAATGTAAATATCACTTGTCGAGATTTGTGTCTGACTTAGAGCAAGTATCGAATGGTTTCGTGAACAATACTCTATCGCTCAACCTGTACCCCTGCACTAAAAACATAGTGAACAATAATCAAAACTCAAAAAAATCTGCGGTGCTTATTTCAAACACAACAAAATGGGATTGGTCTGACGATAAAAGCACCACTGAAGCGGCCAGTCAAACTCAGTATTTCATCATAGCCATGCTCGGGCCCGTCACACACGCCGATATTGCGATGATTTACGAAATCGGGAAAAAAGTAAACAAAAATATAATAATAGTCACCTCGAATGTTTGTTCACCTAAATCTTTTTTGGAAATGTTGCAAAAATAAATAATTAAAAATAATCTAATGTATAAATTTTAGTTTTCCCAAAGTTGTATTCTTTGTCGTATATTAAAAGTGCTGTAGGCCGTTAGAATAAGCTATTTCGAAATGCGTTGAATGTTGGCTGTTGAAATAAATGCAAATTAGTAAGAAAACGACGAACTATCGATATTACTGTGAAATTTGTAACATTTATATTCAAAACAACAAAAGCGAAATTCAAGCCCACAAAAGTTCGATTTTTCACCTGATCAAGCAAAAAAAATACTTGAAAAACCGAGATAAAATTGGTTCGAATACGAAAGAAAATTGCGCTGGTTCTGCTATCAATGAAACAAAGACTAATAAGTCGGTCAGAAAGCTGAAAAAACAAGACTACATCAAAAAAGTGACAGAAAGCTTGTCACAATACGTACAAGAAATAAACAAAAATTCAATTGAAAAGTACCATGACGCTGAAGTGGAAAAAAGTGAATTTAATTGGTTCAAAAACGTAAAGTTGATCCCGACAGAAATAAAAAAAAAATCCAGTTTTCTCAACATCAATAAATGGTTTCGAAATGTGGATAATATTACAAATCTACCGTATTATTCAAATGTTGCTTTGAAATTAAACGTTTGGGAAGACCCTGATAGCTATATTTCAACGTTAAAACTAGAAAAATCTAGCAAACATAAATGCAAAAACTCACTTTGCTTAGATGATCTGGCTGTTGCGGAAGAAACTTACGAGCCTGCGATTGGCGAATGGAAGGCAGATAATGAAAGCTACAAATTGGACATTGCAAAACCCGATAATGCTACTGAAGTTTTGGAATCGAACTTTTCGACGTTGAATCAGTTAAATAGTATCTCAAACATTCAACTAAACAAAAAAAAAGATGAACCAGGCCGTATTTCGAGGATAAAGTTTAGCGAGGTTTGAACACAAGCAATATAATTAATTCATTAATTATAATAAATATTGCAAGTTGATAATTGATAAATATTTATTTAGCAGATTTATGAAGCGTTGCTGTATGTTTTGCTGAGCATTAGCGAAAACCTACTGAAAATCTGGCGCTGTCGAAATGAGCGAAATCGCAAAGTATTTCGATTTAAAAGATTTTGATAAAGATAATGACTCTGGCTACGTAATCAATAATAATATTTTTTGCAAGCCATTGTTTACTAATTCAAAAATAGTCGTTTACGGATTGGAAATACCGCGTGAAACGTCGTTCGGTCCTATCCTTTCGGGAAATGCACACATCATCATGCGCGTGCTTGATGTGTCCGAGCAGGTAATCGCGATGGCGCGAGTTGATCAAGAACTCGTAAAAATTAAGATTGGTAAGTAGTTTTTTTAACGTAGAACATTCGTTTCTAGATTCTTGGTTGTTAGTTCGACCAAATCAAAGTTTTGGGATAAAAAACGCTTCGACAAAGCGCGTGTTATACTTGGAGTTCACAGAGTTTTTGTCGTTACGTTTGGACGGCAGTTGAAATACGTAGTTTCTACAGCCCGCAAATCCAACACTTCCGGTTCTTCGCAACGTAAATGTTTTGTAGTACGAAGCTTCCAATAGCGTAAGCGTTGATTAAGGTTTCTCTCGACGCCGGAATGTAGCCATAAACGACTTGGAGCGTGATCAAAGCTGCTAGTCTGTTGACAGTTGGCAAAGTTCTCTTGTTGTTTTCGATGTATCGCCGCGAAACAGTCAGAGAGTCTGTTTCAATAAAATTATCGCTTGCGATAACTAACGCTTTTTCGTATATTTCTTCCACTGAACAACTGACATCTTGTTCTAGCACAATTTCTATTTAGCATGTTGTAGTTTGTTCACTTACTCAAGCAGTCGAAAAAGTTGTACGGTATTTGCCGAGGACCACACAAAACCAAGTTCGGCCCAGAAAATAACTGTAAGTCACATTCTAAACAGCTCGTTAATCTGCTTGGCGAAATTACGCGAACATGACAACAGTATTTTTCGGACCCTACATCGATTAAAACTTGACTTCTATTAAGAGAACTTTTGAATATTTGGTGTACTATATAATTACAATATCTACGTGTTTCAAGATTGTCAACACAGCATATAATGTAGTGAAACGACGCCAGAACTTCCTGCGCTAAATCTTGAACTTTGGAGTTGTAGACAGTTATGTCAGTGATGAATTTGTCTCGGGCAAATTTCGCTGCGACGTCTACTTTGGCCTGGCTAACGTCTGTTGCAAGGTACATGTCTTGGTTGGCACAGTTTCGTTTTTCAACCAGATCAAAGTCCACGACTGCGATATGTTTATTTTTGAGTTCCAGCAGAAAGTGCAATAAATAAGAGCCTATACCTCCTATGCCTACTACTAAGATTTTTTCGTTAGACATATAGCCTGTTCGAATAAATTATTTTTGTTTCTATTTTCAATTTAATCTGGCATTTTCTATATGCTTTAAATTAGTCAGTATGCTCGCTAAATTCGCTGGAGCCAGTTAAAAATTCTAAATACGACCGAATCACACGTCTGATCAGCCTGAAACGTCTCCGTATCGCTTTTTCTGAACAGTAAAAGGTATGTACCGATGCTTGATCATGTCGCTTATTTTTTTTTTAAGCATGATAATTGTGATTAAAATGAAGTACAGTAAAAGCAAAGGCCAAAATACAGGTAAATCAAATATTCTAAAAAAAGTAGTGAACAAACAAACTACAGTCACTATTAACGAACCCAGCCAAAAGTGGTACTCTGGAAGCTTGCGTTGAAACGGACGGAAGTCTTCGCTTGCGTTTCTTGGTAAAATGTACCCGTCGGTAGTTTCGTCAATGCTGGGCGATAAAAATGCGATTACCATGTTTATCTCAAAAATTCCTAAACAGTATAGAGAGACGTACCAGCCTTTGACGTGTATTACTCTGTAGATGACAATTAGCCAAAGAACAAACAAAGCCAACCACCGTTTAGTGGGGTGAACCGTTGACTTGTCCAAATAAACGCGCGCTAGGACTAAATAGTCCGAAACTATATTTTCAAGTTGCTTTTTGTATTGTTCAATCATCGCTAGCCAGGAGTAAGAATATTTTTCTATTGATAATTCGATAAATTAGTGATTTTTTTTGTAATTAATGCAGCAGAGATTATAATAATTTTTATCTAATATTGGTCAAAGCGCACCTTTTAATTGTTATAGAAACTGTCTAGCGCTTGTGCTATGATTCAGTCGATCTAATGGAATATTTTATATTAATCGAAAAATAAGAATTTTATTATAATTAATAATTAGGCTGAAAACATGAATATTCCGTTTCAAGCGTAGCAAAGGTATAATCTTTAATGTTGTAAACTTTTGCGTAATTATTTGATCTGCTTTTATAGCATTGTTATTGATTATAGATAGTGTGATTTTGTGAGAGTTGTTTCTTATGCACACAAATGAAGAGAACAATTGCGATACTTTGCTAGCAAAAGTAAAAAATGAGTTTCTATCATTGACTTTAAAGAACAGCTTAACAAATGAGAGTTTTGAGTATTTAAACAAGATCACTAGTGAATTCGTGAACTATGTAGGCGGTATTTCAAACCTTACACGGTGGTTAAATGTTCCTGACAACACTTTAGGTTTTCCTGAATATAGTCACTATACTACTACCATTCAGGAGCAACCTACCAATGTACACATTCAGGATTTTATTCTGATCTTCTCATTAATTAATATGTTTGAGTTGCTGTACCAAGAGTCAGTTGAATCGGCGAACAACAACAGAATCATATTTTTAAGATTTCAGATATTGTCTTGGATGAACATTTGTAATGATATCGATCGATTTAATTCGTTACAATTGATAAAGAGTCTTATGCTTAATAATTATGATATGTGTTCGAAAATTTTGCACGACTTGGAAAAAACAAATGAGCTTCACTGGCTTTCGGATGAAACCAAATATTTTTTAAAACTTAAATCGTTAGATTTAAGCGACGAGCGTGCTTACTACAAAGTAAAATCTGTTGTTGCACGTATCAAGCTGGCACTAGGTCTAGAGACGACAAGTCCAGAATTGGCAGACAAAATAGATTTTGATGACGAAGATCCTTTACAAATTTCAAACCTGCTTGAATATGCCGACCGACTCTATATGCAAGACCGATTTGACGAATGCGAAAAGTTTTTGAACCAGGTCCAATCTCTCGTTGATGTTTTATCTTACAGTAGCGATGCTTGCCCGTTTCTCTCCGTTGTAAACTTTCAAAACGCAGAACTATACTACCAATTTGCTCGTATAGCTTATTTGCAAAACAACTTGTACTCTGCTCGGAAACATCTTCAAATTAGCGTTAGCTTGAATAACAACCACGCAGCGGCCATGCAGTTTTTGTTATTTCTTGATAGTTTACCTGACGAAAAGGAACTGTGTATGCCACAGATACTGTTATCACACCAAGCAAACACTAAAAGTACACCAGTTATCGATGTTGGTTCGTTGAAAAACTTTTTCGAAAAAGATTTGCAGGTCGAGAATCCTGCTTACTTTTCTAATTTAAAATTTTTTTTAGAAAAGTTTAACGACAAGGTATTCTTTTTAAAACACGCAGTTATCGAAAAAATTATTGAAGATTTTTTCAGTTTCTGTGAAAAGACTTATGCAAAGACTAAACTAAGTGATCATGCCGAAACACATCTTGCTTCTTTATACAAAAAGATAAAATATGGAGAAAAAAGTGAAATGCTTATAAAATACTTTATCAGTGCATTAGAAAATGAAACTGACAAGATTTCATTGTTTAAAAACTTCTATACGTTAGTTTTAACTTATGCATTGAAAAAACTGAGTAAAGATGGCGAGAAGTACTGGTTTTTAGAAGTTTTATCTAGATTATATCCCGTCATGTTTGCCACTAATGATGAAACTACCAAGTTTGAGTTTCAGTTATTGAAATTGCAATGCGACACAATCTATGACATCAATATTAACTTCAGGGTCAAAGAGCTGTGCAAAACTTTTTCTTACAAGGTTATGCCACAGATGGCTGTGCCTTTTATTTTGCGTTGCATTTTAAAAAACGATTTAGACTATGCTTTCAAAGTGGCGTCTGTGACATTACAAGAAATGAATGCTTTATTAGAAAAGCCGTTTTATGTGCTGAGTAATTACAATATGGTACACGAACTCCTGAGTTGGATTTATATTATTGCACGAGTTAAATACTCTGTGAAAATCAACAAATGGTTAGTAAATGAATATCGAAGCTTAATAACCAAGCTTAACAAAAATGGAACGCACAAACGACTTGAAAGTTTTATTTTGATGTTATCCTGCAGTTTAAAGTCGTGTCTTTTTGAACAATACAAGTACATTTACAAAACATCTCCAGAACAGACTGCGTACATTACAAAACTCCAAAAAACGCTTGCACAATTGGTTGAAGATTGTACTGAAGCTTTGAAGCTCGACCCATTGAATTGGCGAGTCGCGTTTGTACTTAGCGATCATTTGATCAGTCAGAATGAACATTTTATCAGCAATAGACTGCTTTCATTCTACTCAGAAGCATTAAGCAAAACTGAGAAAGATAACGGAGACGATATTTTACTGTATAATGACATTCACCTCGTAACATTTCTTTCAGCAAAACAAAGTTTATATTCGCTCGCTTCGTTAAAT